AGAGAGAGAGAGAGAGAGAGAGAGAGAGAGAGAGAGAGAGAGAGAGAGAGAGATTTGTTAAACGTTAAATGGAGAGGTAATGGAGCGGAAAGGATGCTGCAGTGAAGAAACATCAATGAGACAAGCATGGACTAACCTGCGGGATGCATGGACCCGGCTTTTTACACCATCCTGAGGAATATCGATCAAGCACATGATCAACTCCCACTTCTTTAGCTCTGCCAGCTCCTCCTCGGATTCTTCACCGGTTACCGTCACGGCCATCCTTGTGCCTGTGGGGTCAGATCGCAACGGCAACAAGTACACAGTTCATCCCATGACGTCCGATTGCCGAAGCAATAAAGCAGCCAGCACATCCAATCATCAGTCAGACTGCAGCAAGAATGTGCTTTCCTCTCAGGAACAGGGTTGCATACCCGTCGGCCGCAGGCGCCAAACACCTACTGTTTGGTAGCCTACCAGTTGGGCCAACCGGTCGGCGGTCTGCCAACCAGTCTGTACAGAGCGATCTGCTGATTGTTTTTCAAATCTGAGTTCAGCATGTACTGCACTTGCCGAGAAGAGCCCAAATCTGCTGAGAAACCTCTGGGGATGTTTTTTTTTTTTGGGGGGGGGGCAGGTAAACGGGGTGTGTATATGGGTTGTATAAGGGGTTATCGGGGGGTATGAGGGTGTTGGTTGGGTTATGCTCCCCCCCCCCCCTTCCCCCTTCCCCCCCGCGCCAAAAAAAAAAAAAAAGTGCTATGCGGATCGCTCGCTGACCGATAGGTCCCGACAGGTGGAACAGTCGGCTTGTCGGCAGCCGACCAATCCAGTGGTGCCAACCGTCGGCGTGACTACTCTGCTTAGGAACGCAAAAAGGTTGAAAAAACAAACAAACAAGCAAAAGAGATGTTATCAGGCCACATGGCCTAGCTCAGTTGGTTGAGCACGTAAGTGGTAGACAGGAGGTCGTGGGTTCGATTCACCATGGCATCCATTCGATTCCCCACGAACCCCTGTGTGGCGTACTTCGGGTTCACCGACTGAGAAAGTTGGCTTGTCCCTCCTGGCTGGTTGTGGAAGTGCTGGGTGTCACTTTCCCACCTGCACCAGGTTAATGGTGCTTGGGTGCTGCTCACCGCACAGAGCAGAGTTAGGTAGGTGTAGACCCATAACCTTAGGATAACTTAGGCCTGGTTAGTAGATTTAAGGCTGGTCCCCTGACTAGAGTAGATGCTGTAGCCCTAGACCCTAGCCTTAGCGTCTTATTTTTTCCATACGTTCAAAAAAAAAAGGTTACTCGGAAGATTCTCACGCCCGGCTGGTCCTGCCCGGGCGTGCAAAAAAAATAAAAATAAATTTAATAAAAACTATCCAAAACTTCAATTTTTATTTTTTTAATTTATTTTTTTTATAATTTCTTTTCTGCACTCTCCCAGAGGAACCCAATCCTGGCTCACTTCTAATTTTGCGAGTTGGCTGTCAAGGGGGGAAGAGGGGGGGTAGTAATTGGTTTTAAAGGGGCTGAACGGGTTTAAAGGGGGGTCCCGTCGTGTGATTCTGTTATTTTCTTTTTTATCTCCGATTCTGTGAGGAATTCTAATGTGACCCTCAGCCAAAAGTCGTTTGTATTGCAATTCTACACAACATTTTTTTCCGGAATTTTATTTTATTTTATTTTATTCTTTTCTTTGGCGCTGGGGCTGCCCGGAATCCTGCCCGGGCCGGGCACCCGGGCGTGTACCCGGCCATAAGTTGGGTGCCCGGGCGCCTGGAAAAACAACCTAGATAGGTTACATATAATCTAAGCATATATTCAAGATCTCTCCAGAGAGACTCTTGAGACTACTTTTGTAAGGTTGTACTTTGAGAACTGAATAACCACTGTATTCCATCTTCATAAGCTGCCGCTTGGTATTGGCATTTTGTTGATGTGGTTTGGTTATTTCTATTTGTATCTATTTATTGGTTGGGGGGTAATTAACACTTGCTACCTATTCCAAATTCTGTGTAAAGACAAAGAATCCTCACCAAAAGGTAACTTCATCAATTTCTGGATATTCTCTTCTTTAAAGTTCTTTTATCAAAAGGAAGACCCGAAAGTCCTGAAACTGATGTTTTTTGGACTTCCATTTCCTTTTTGAGAACAGAGAATTTAGATCCCCTTGGACTGTGGATGGGCTCTTGTTTGTCCGGAGCAGGTAATGCGAGGTAAACATACGGCTGATCCCTTGCTTGTCCGGGGTAGGTAGTGCGAGGTACAATAGCGCAGTAAAAAATGCAGCTGTCTACCATATGAGACAAAGACAAGCCTGCATTTTGTATAGTAAAAAAAAATCTTATTTAAGGACAAAAAAAAAAAGAGAGATGCTACCAGTCAGACTGCAGCAAGAAAGTGCTTTCCTCTTAGGAAAGCAAAAAAGTTGGAAAAAACAAACAAACAAACAACAGAGAGGTGAATTCTGGAGTCAGACAACCCATGACTCACTCGGTGGACACATTTCTAATCATCAGTCACACATCTGGCATGCAGTGTCCGTTCTTTTTTTTTTTTTTTTTTTTTTTTTTTTTTTTTTT